AATTTTTGGCATTGGCACAAAGCCAAAAAAAAAAAACAAAAAAAAAAAAACCTCACACTGCTCATTACCACCACGGTGAAGCATGGTGGTGGTAGCATCAGGTTGCACGTTACCCTTGGCTTCTTGGTTGTTAAAGGACTGTAGGACATATCTATATAAAGTTGCATTATGACTGTTTCAGTTGCCATGTCAAGTCATGAAATAGCTCTGTATTACCATGTTTTCTTCTGTTTTTCACACTCTGAGATCAGCCACAAATAAATTTACCTGATTCTCTATAAAAGGTTTTAGATATGTCCGCTTGGGTAGACATGGGAACTGTGCTTGCATAACACTGTGAATAGCTGGAATGTTAAAAGGAATGGATTTAGCCTTTGGTTCACTTGAATCAGGTTTACATTTTAATCTTTGCTTCAAACAGTGAAAGTAACAATATCAGTCATAGAAAATATAAACACTGTTTTGCCTGAAAGTTGTAATCATTTAATGGAGTCAATACTTACTCTCTAAATGTAGCTTAGTCTAGAGTGTTGCAGTATATAAATATGTTTTCTCTGATTTACATCTGGTACGTTACACTCACTGAGCACTTTATCAGGAGCACTTGTACACCCACTCAATCATGCGATTATCTAATCAGCCAATCATGTGGCAGCAGTGCAATGCACAAAATCATGCAGATATGGGCCAGCAGCTTCAGGTAATGTTCACATCAACCATCAGAGTGGGGCGAAAAGTGTGATCTCTGATTTTAACTGTGGAAAGATTGTTGTTGCCAGACAGGCTGGTTTGAATATTTCTATAACTGCTGATCATCTGCGATTTTCATGTACAACAGTCTGTAGAGTTTACTCAGAATGGTGCAATAAAGAAAAAACATCCAGTGAGCAGTTCTGTGGACGGAAACATCTTGTTGATGAGAGAGGTCAACAGAGAATGTCCAGACTGGTTTGAGCTGACAGAAAGGCTACAGTAACTCAGATAACCACTCTGTACAATTGTGGTGAGCAAAAAAGCATCTCAGAATGCACAACAGGTCGAACCTTGAGGCAGATGAGCTACAACAGCATAAGACCACATCCGGTTCCACTTCTGTCAGCCAAGAACTGAAAGCTGAGGCTGCAGTGGTCACAGGCTCACCAAAACTGGACAGTTGAAGACTGAAAAAATGTAGCCTGGTCTGATGAACCTTGATTTCTGCTTGACAATGATTTCTACTCAATTTCTGATTGACAATGAGTTTAATGTTCTTCAGTGGCCTTCCCAGTCACCAGATCTGAATCCAATAGAACACCTTTGGGATGTGGTAGAACGGGAGAGTCGCAGCATGAAAACGCACCTGAAAAATCTGCAGAAAGTGCGTGATGCAATCATGTCAACATGGTCCAGAATCTCAAAGGAATGTTTCCAATATCTTGTGAAATCCATGCCACAAACAACTGAGGCTGTTTTGAGAGCAAAGGGAGGCCTATACTCAGTATTAGTATAGTGTTCCTAATAAAGTGCTCCCTGGGTGTATGTTCTTTAAAATGTAGATTACCCTACTTATCACACCTACACTTATATAGTATAATGTTAACAGTATAAATATTTTAGATTCCCTTAGTATCTTAGCATATCATCATACTGCTATACTGTCACAGTCCTAGAAAGCTGGCACAAACTCTCTGACTTCGGCAAACAAGGCTAAGAACAATTTCACACAATATCAATATCAGTCTTGGAGGCAGTGCTGTATTGAATAATCCAGTGGTAGTACTTCAAGTCCCATTTAGGGCAAACTTTCATCACAGAGATATGATTAGAAATGCTGTATGATCCATACCACTGATTTAATAATATGCCTTCCTCATTTGTGGCAGCTAAGTGAGGAAGAAAATGGATGCATAGATTATGAGAGCAGGACAATCAGCAGATCATCTGAGATTATGCACATTGTTTCAAGATTAAATTTTCATATGGCATCAGTAGATTTAATCAATATTTATAACAGGACTTGTGTCCCGTGTCCTTTTTGCTCCAGGTCACCCAGAAAAATGTAGTTCAGTTTCGATTTGAAAATGAAACTGAAGCTTTTCTGATAAAATCCCTGGGAGTGGAAAGACAGATATGACCTGGCTGTGGTCACATGACTGTGCAGAATCTGGACTTTAAGGTCCTGTGTATGGATGTGGACTCCTCACTGTGAAGATGTGCTGGAGGTAAGGCCTCAGTGCTTTCCTCCAGTGTGGGCGCACTAAAAATGGACAAGTATCATCAGTCAGATTTCACCATCAACGCCTGGCTAGACAATTATAATAACTGACCTGGAGTCTCATACCTGGTTAATTCCAGTGGGTTCTGTCTGGAAGTTTCACACATGGCTTCATCTATGGTAAGATGTACATTTCTTCACACAGTGTAATCAGTGAACAATTTTAAAATACAAATATTTTAAGTATTATTTTATGAATGAGCAGCTCTAAATAGGTATTTGATATGTGTTTGTATGTGTGTACCTACCCTGCTGTGAGACGAAATGGGAGTCTGTGGGATTCTTATATTCAAGACCAGGTTTCGCATATGTGTTATTCAGATTCCTGTCATGGATAAGACATTTACATTTTAAAATCAATATAAGACCTTATTACATCACACAATTACACATTAAGTAAAAACTAAAATTGATATTCTATGGGAGCAGCACAGGAAGAAAGGTGGTCTGATAAAACACCTTGAAATATCACACCTGTGGGAGGAACATCACTGCAGGATGTGTAGCTTTACACCAAAGAAGAGCCTCTGTCCCTATGGAAGAACTGCTGCCCCAAAGGGAAATTTCCTTCTCTTCAGTTATTTTTTAAAGTCAGACATGTAGAGCCCAGCAGTATGTGTCTAAAAACTCAGGCTGTGTTCTAGCAGTTATAAGGTATGACAGTAAAATGATGACAAATATCAAGTTTCCCCAAATGTAGACACGTTAACACCTTTCCTCTGAGGTCTGAGTGTTGTTCAAAGACATACTGGACTCCATACGTGCCCAACTATACATGAAGTACTCAAATAATATTGGAGGTACATATTTTTTTAGAACAAAGCTTCATGCCATTCTGAATCATGCATTTGTGCTAGGAGCTCTTAGCTATGGAGAAATAATCAGAAATGAATACTGTTTGGAAAATAGTATATGAAAGCACTATTGCATGATCAGCCAACTAGAATGCATCATGTCCCGTTTTACTCAGTTACATAGTCAAATTGTAGCATTTTATTCATGTTGACAGAACTGAAATGGCTGTATTAATGCACATGTATTAACAAACTGTGCCTAAACTTGCACAGAAAAACTTTTATTCGTCAGTGACACATAGAAATGAGCACAGACTTGAGCGCATGGAATGACACACAAAAAAATCTGCTTCTGATTCATAAAACGATGAATATTGATCATGGTGCACAATATCAAAATGAGCAATAATTTTAGTGCAGTTGATGGAAACAAGTCCCTTCTGCTCACTAGTCCCTTATTTACATGTCAGATTTATACAGTATGCCCCAATTGACCATCATATAGATCTAAATTAAATCAAACACATTAAGTCACACTAATAGGTTTATGCAGGTTTTTCTGATGGTGAGCCAAGAAAAAGGAAAAGTGAATCTGAGTTTGTAGAAAACAAAGACGATCTTTTTGGAATCCTCAAATGAACACTTGACAAAACATAAAATCAACTGTTTCAACTGAGGAATACGGCTGCCTTTGAAATCCTTTGTTTTTAGCAAAATTATTGGTATGAAGTAAGTACATAAAGATGTATAAAGATTTATGGAGGTTTGCTGTTTTTTTAGAAAACAGAAAACTGAACCATTTTCCACCTGCAGGTAGTTATGTGAACTCGATTTATAGCTAGGTCAGAATAGGTCAGGTCAGGTCATTTTGGACATTCCCTGTTTGAGTGGTTTGCACATCTTTGCCTGTTTGTGGTTTATGATTCTGCCTCACGATTTGGATCTGTCTGCCTGTGGTCTTTAAAATAAACTCCCACTACAATTGCATCCGGTTCTGCCTACCTTATCTGACAATCAAACACTTAAAAGCAACCAAAAAAAAAAAAAAATCTAAAAGCATGTTCAGCATGTTGGCATAAGTGGAATTAAGTCATTATTATCTTATAAAATACACCTTCTACTTGTACTACTGGAAACAACAATTACTGGAGGAATCTTTACTTAATCAGTTCTGTAAATAATTAAGTGATGGTTGAAGTCAATAAAGGTCAGAAGCGAATGGAAATCAATTGTGATTTTTGCTAAATCAATACGCCCTGGGTGGGAGTCTGGGAGGTGGGAGGAAGCTGAAGATAGAGTTTAGTGTAAATTGTTAATCAAATCTGTTACTTTTCATCCAGTCATTTCTACAATTAACCTGAATGCAAAGAGGCTTACTTAGCACCAAGTTAGCACCAAAAGGCCAATAACTTGCCTGGACCGTAAAAAATTACTTAAATAACAAAATGACAGCTCTCAGCTTTCAAAACGATGAGAAATGAGCAGACAATCCCCAGCAGTCTATAAGAACATTTTATGTTCAGAGTATATATCTACCTATTGGCTTCTGGTAGTGCATTCAGGTAATCAGGATGCTCTGTTTGTGTTGCTCTTGTTGATATTATCATGTCACCATGAGGTTTCCTCTGTCCACATGTTTCCGTAGGTCTCCTTTCTGCGAAGCAAAATACAGAAGAAATGTGGTGCTATACCAAAGTGCTTATAGTAAAGTCTGTCTTATCAATTTAGCGACCATCTTAACAATGCTCCTGAGCAGTTACTGTGTTTGCAGTGATACAAGAACAAGTTGCTATCTACTTAAACGAGGACAGACTCATAATCCAGAAATAGCTGGAAAAGATGACATTTCAAACATGGATTTAAAATGACACAAATGGCATAAGTAGTGTGTCGTTTTTGGCTCCAATATGAAAAACGTATTTTTTCAGATTACGCCGGATACCGCACATGGGTCCCTGAAGAACTAGTGGTTAGGCCTCAGCGCTCTCACCACCACGGCCCGAGTTCGATTCCCGGCCAGGGAACAGACCCCAGCCACTGGGGTTACACAAGACAGTGCACTCCTAGTGCCGGTCCCAAGCCCGGATAAAATTGGGGAGTGTTGCGTCAGGAAGGGCATCCTACGTAAAAGGTGTGCCAAATCAAATATGCAGATCAATGATCCACTGTGGCGCCCCCTAACAGGAACAGCCAAAAGAGGAACACCACCACTCTGGACACCGCACATGCAAGCTTCTCCAAAACGTACAGAACAAAGTGCCCTATGCATCAGCATCAGTGTAAGAAGTCAGGCCTTTTCACTAACATCTTTACCAAGAATAGTGACTGACTCTTTTTATTAAAAGTACTTTTGTATTATAGTTATCTTACATGCTGCACTATTCATGCAGTCTGTGGTTATATGAAATTTTTCTAACATCTCAAATATTTTTCATACACTTATTCTCTAAATTATTGCAGGCATTTGACAGACGTTAAGTACATTTTGGAATGTTGATTGTAAATAATTTGAAGTCAAAAACTTTCCTTTTTTTGCAATATTCTCCTACTGATCATTCCTCTCAACACACTTAATACTGCTTGCCTTTACTCTTGCTCAGCTGTAGACTGTAATGTCTCCCAGAAGAGCATGGATTCCTTTTCTGAATCTGGTTCCTCTCAAGATTTCCTCCAATGAAGACTTCTAAATCTACATTGAGATTTCTGTAATGCACCTTTGTGACAACACCTATTGTTAAAAGCATTACACAAATAAAAATGAATTGAATATTGAACTGAAGTATCACATCTTACCCTTATCCTCTACCCTGTGACTGTTCAGTGGTTCTTTTCTTCTGTGTTCAGCCATCATGTCCTCGGTGTTCCTCATCTGAGCTATTCTGCATGAAAACAATTACAGGGAACCAATGCGATATGGCAAAATTCTCTTCAGGTCTTTGCCAGAAATCACTTAACACATAAGAGTGAGTATAGAGCCATGGAGTTTGGAAATAATATACGGTATTATCAGTGCTGCGCAGTATTACCGCAGGTGTTGCCTGTTCAAGTTTCTCTCCCTGATAGCTTGCCTTGCAGGGGGGCCTATCTGTGTGGGAGAACGTGGCAATACAGTGAAATGTTGCATGCAAAATTTCTGCTGTATTTAGATCAAATAAACACAGTCACAGCTTAGTATGTTAAAACCAGGAGTTTACCTGCTGAATGGCCAGTTTCATCTGTAAAGCCTCGCTTAGCTTGTTGACAAGGCTTTCCTGCACAGAGCTAGCGACATCCTAGAAGCAAGACAGTGATGTGTTCAGTAACATCTATGATGTACATCAATCAATACATATATAATACATCAGCAACAGCAGAGGGCAAAAATGTCAAGCTCATGAGAATTTACTCAGCTCTGGTGTGTCAATCACACAAAATGTGTTGAGCTCTGATAAATGTTACCATGATAAATGTAGTTTTCATGTTCACATATTTTGCTCTGCTTTCTCTGATAGCTAACTTGATGTAGTTCTTTACTCTGTCATGTGCCTGAGAGGATAGTTTGAATTTATTTACTGCATTCTTTTCCAACTGCTGGCCACACAGGTCTCAGCTCACAGCTCTGTGCACTTGAGTTGACTGCTGACCGTCCAAATTCATCTAGCAGATGTCCAGATTGGCAAGTGCATTACTCAAAGTGGGAGTAATTTAGCCTAATGAACACGTTTGGGATCAAACCTTTTACCTTGCACTTGGAGAGTAGTGCTAGAGCCTGCTTATAGTAGAGAATGGCTTTGTCTGGGTCTCTCAGTCTCATTTTGATTCCACCCAGACCTTCACACGCTTGCCAATGCCCTGAGGAATCATCTATAGACAGACAGACAGACAGACAGACAGACAGAGTTAGCACTTAGGTAGAGTAACTGACATCAAGCAGTTTGCCACATAAGCATCACAGTTTGTGTGGATATATTCAGGCATTCAGGTGAGTACCGCTGTCTTTGAAAGCCTGTTGAGCATGTAGGTAGCTCTCTCCTGCCTCCTCCAGTTCCCCCAGTTCACTTAGTGCGTAAGCCAGGTTACAGAAACAGCAGCCCTGAGCCCGACGGCTACCTAACGACCCTACCGAGACAGCAGGAGAAATATAATAAGCAAGATAAATAGTGGTGGGTTTGCTGTAACCTTCAGGACTATGAGTCCTCTGACATGCTACAGTTCATCACTGTTGTCCAATTAAACATATTCATAACACATGAGCACAAGCAAAGGACAAAGAAACCCTGACACACATAGTGACTCATGCAAAACCTAAATTACAAGTTGTGTCACTCAGCTGTGAATGTTTTCATCCCCTCTGTATAATTATCATAAAGGAACAGGGCAATAAAACACAGCAGAGGATCTTAAAGAGCAATGTCAGCACATGGTCACATAGAAAAGCAGCCAGCGCATTTGTGGGAGGAGACAGAAAGAGAGAAACACATAGGGAGAGACAGAAAGATGCTGGTGTAACCATTTTCTCACTGTCCCCTGATACTGAGACATGACCTGCAGTGATATATTTAATGCATGCTGCTGCTGACCAGAGCATTGCAATTACAGCACGGATACTTAGAGGTAATACAGGAGAAATAATTTACACTTCCTAGAAGTGTATATGGATATTGACAGTAGGGCTGTTTAACATTGCAGTTTAGTGACTGAAAGCATTTTTTGTGATGTAATATTAGAATGCATTGAAATATATGAGCCTATAATTTTAATTGTCATATTTTAAGCACACAAAATTAGGGGTGCAACAATACATTGTGACACGAAGCATGCAAAAATGTGAGAAATGTGTATCTGGAAATATGCAATGTCAGCATGCTATTAATTATGCATGTAATGCAGTTACACTGTTTGAACACCAGAGGTCCCAACCTGCATATCCCATAGAGTTAAACTATATAGAAAGCACACTGGTCACGTGACCATGTTCTTTTGTGGAGAGCCTGAGATGGGAATAATCTGCACTTGTAACGTGACTGATAGCATGATAGCTCCGGATTGCAACGACCAACGCACGTTACACATTATACGGTTACACATCCATGTTATAACAGTTAAAAAGAGTAATTCAATACTTTCAAACAACAGCATCCTTGTGCCTCTTTGATTTAGGGTGCCCGAGAAATAGTCCATAGAAATCTGGGGCTCTATTTCTGCTACAGAGCTCATTATGTTTCAGTCGATCAAGTCGCTGGGTCAGACACTTTGTTTATTCGATCCAAATTTTTGGGAGAATTTATAGATGTATTTAGTTTTAAGATACTGTGAACCAGTAGTACACTTTGTTTACAATATTAAACCTCTGTTCATAGCAATTTTTAATTTATTTAGTTTTAAAGAGACAAAAAATGCACATTTTGCATTGTTTATTATACAGAAATAAAAAAGGAGTCTCTTCAGTCATAATTTTTCTTTATTCAAATTTTGTTCAAATTTTCTGAGAATCGAATTGTGAACGCAGTATTGAATTGAATTGTGACCGAGTGTATTATTACACCCCTACACAAACTATAAACCCCTTAAACTGTTTTATTTATTTGCCCACAGTAATTTGACTCTAATATTTTAGATTCCTTATGCATCACTGGGATCCATGTAAAAAAAAAAAAAAAAAGCAATCTTCAATTTATCTTCTTGTAGAAATGTGTATTGACTTATTTAAGCTTCTCCATCATATAGTTACTCACATATAATACGACTATTAGATTTTATTAGTCAACCACTATTTCAAAATAAGTACTTCACTAGTTATGTTTTCCATACTTAAAACAGATTCATTGGAACATTGGACAATGGAATTTACTCATTCATTCATCCATCCACCCTTAGTAACGGCTTTATCCTGTTCAGGGTTGCTGAGGTTTAAATGAATTATTTGTTCATATTTTTGGAAGCACTAAGTTCATTAGAAAATATCACGGGCAGGTGCAAACAAAAATAACTGTGGGAGTGAGAGGGATTGGTCCGATTTCCTTCAGGAGCAGGTGGGAGTGGGATTAAAAACTGTCTACACTTAACCACTTATCCATAAAAGTTGTATGAAAGTGATAATGTTCCATTAAAACAAAAAAAATCCCCAATTTTATCCTCCTCCCCTATCATATGCCAGCTACCAATCTGGGAGGGTGAAGGCTAACACGTGTGTCATCTGGGACATGTGAAGCCAGCCACTGCAACTTCTCAAACCACTGCTCATGCTGCATCACAAGGAAGCACAACACACTCAGAGGAAAGCGCTATCTGCCCTCTTTGGTCAATGATTGACTAGTGTCGCTATGATTGACAGGGGCATCATCAGGATTGAAACTCGCAGTCTCTCGACAAGTGTTTTCTGCTGGGTTATGCAGGAGCCACAAAAGAACATTTTTAACATTTTTTCCAGCATAGCCTCCACAATGTGCAGTTGACTGCAGAACTGGCTTCATCTAGTCAAATATTTCCAGACTACCAAAGTAAATTTTTCCTGCTTGTTTTATCTTCTGCCACTCTACTAATTTTTCCACATACCACACTAGTAGACAGCTCCCCACATCAGCGACTAATGAATGTATCAGTCAACTAGTCCATGCAACCCCTAACACAGATCACTTTTAAGACACATATTTGTCATTTTTGAAATGCAATTAAAAATTGATACATTTTGCAAAAAATATGTGAAGAAAAAGCATGCCATAAACATGCATTTAATCAGATCACACAATGGTGACAATGATCATTTCAACAAAAGTGTAGGAAGAGTGTGCTTTAAAAGAATTACATTAGGTAGCTAAAAGTAGAGCATGAGACCTTAAACATCTAAATGCATTTTTGCAAATAAATTGCTATCAAAAAATAATCATTGTAATAGTTTGTTCTGAAAGTCTAAATTGACATTACATTTTATGAAAATTACTGAATGTGTCTATGTGTGCTTTGTGTGCACTATGCATACTATGCATAGAAAATATTCTGTATATCCAGTGATGAGGAAATGCCTGAGCAACTGAGCAACTTGGCTTGGTGGTTTGCTAACCGTGCAGGGCAGCTGCTTCCCTGTGGTATTCCAGGGCTTTCCGGTACTGTGCCAGGGAGTTGTGGACCGCGCCCAGATTCTGCATGACCACAGCTAGCCTGCGAGGAGTGGAGCGGACCAGAGGCAGAGCCAGCTCATAGCACTCAGCAGCCTCAGGAAAGAGCTTCAGCTGAGAGAAACTCAACCCCACTGAGTTATACAGCTTTCCTGGAAAACCCATAAAACAAATAGTACAGGATAAATATCTCATAAGGATTACGGTAGTTTCCTGTCTCACTGCTCTATGTAGAAAAGGTTTTTAGTCATCAAGCCCACTTAACTTTCTAGCTTTCTTGAGGCTAATTATCATATATGCCCTGTTTAAGACAACAGGAGATTACTACTAATATATTATTGTTTACAATTCACCTTGTGTCTCTGGTTCTGTGATTTTGGCACTCAGCTCCAAACACTCTGTGAGAACACTAATGACATCATCTGCTGAGAAGCAGTCACATTTCAACATGTGATTCCCAGCATCCTTCAGGGCCACAGCAGCAGAGGCCAGCTTCCCTGCCACCTTATAGCTTTCTGCTGCACGCAGGTAATTCTCTGCTGCATTGGTCCACTCCTAAAACACAGGACAGATGTCTGAGCAATTCCCTGTAATGCTACGAACTGCACACAACAACTGGCATGTCACTGCATGGAATCAGAAGGTTTCTAATACAAATCACATCAATCTTTTTAACCTTTGGCATATAATGATTGCAAACCGTGACTGTGGAATCTACAAGCTATGACAACTCCAGTATAAAACCAAAGATTCATATATAATAAAATTAAATGAGCAGTCTGTTGTTTTAGAACCCTCTGACGCCGGCACTCCCAATAGATCACCTCACCTCCTCTGCTGAAACTCAGGGCACTTTCATACCTACCTTGTTTGGTGTAGACCAAACAATTGAACTTTATCTATAGTTCGGTCCATTTCAATCAAACTGGTACAGATTTGAGAAAACAGACTAAAGTACAATGTGAGCATAGTTGGTTACCAGTTAGAGAACAGAAAAAGCTGAGAAGCTAGAATTTTTCTTGGAAGTATATCTTGGGCCAATCACAGTTTAAGATATCTAAGATATTTTTGTTGTTGTTCCTCTTTCGGCTGCTCCCATTAGGGCTCGCCACAGCGGATCATTGGTCTGCGTATTTGATTTGTCACAGTTTTTACACCGGATGCACTTCTTGACACAACCCTCCCCAATTTTATCCGGGCTTGGGACTGGCACTGAGAGCGCACTGTTGCACGGTTGGAGCCCTGGCCAGGAATCAAACCCGGACCGCAGCGGTGAGAGTGCTCTGGCCGAACCACTAGTCCTCCAGGGACCCCCCTAAGATATTTTTGTAAATATATGATAATTATAGGTTATCGGTGTATATGGGTTTTTAAAAGCTACAGCTAAAAATAGCAAACTCCCACTCTAATATTCCACTAAATTTCTTACACTCTTTCTTGCAGAGACACTGACCTTCCTGCGCAGGTGACAGTGGGCCAGTCTGATGCAGGTGTCCCCTTCACTGCTCCCATCTCCTTGTGAGCGGTAAAGCTGTGCAGCTTGTTGGTAACGTCTGACAGCTTGCACATGGTCATCCAGAGCCTCATGCGCTGCTGCTAGATTAAACTGCAGATCTGCTACACGCTCACCTCTCTCACTTGACTCAGCTTGTGACAGAAAATCAAGCCCTTTCTGGGGCTTACCTGCCTCCACATATGCTGCTCCAAGGTTAAAAGCACAAGCCCGCTGTACTTTAGTCTCTTTGAGCTGAGAAAGGAGAAACAAGAATGTTTTTTTTTTTTCTAATGCAACACACAGGGATAGATTATAAACCATAAACCACATGGCAGCAGATGGAATATAAAACATCCTTAGTGGTTAAATTAACCTCTCAACACCTTTCTTACGTTCACAGCCGTTTTGAAAGCCTTTTTGAAGTACTCGAGAGCCTTTGAGCTGTCTCCCTGTTGTAGAGCGTTGTGTCCACATGCTGTAAGTCTCTCCACCTGACGCTCCACCTGGACCTCCGCCTGGACCTCTTTGTCCTTTATGTCTTCACCCTTCCCCTTTCTGCTTGACTTCTTTTTCTTCTTCTGAGAATCTTGGGATGGTGAACCATCAGAGGCCATGACAGGAAACAGATTCAAGTCATGTGCTGGTGTGATACTAAAAGAAAAAAAGAACTGAATGAATAAATTTGAGCTCAGATGAGTCACCAAATATGTGACTCAGTAGTTTTGTTGCAGAAGAAAGCTTATCCTAGTGCTGTAAGGGTGTATAGGCAGGGTACAATCCTCAAACCACTAATGATGCTAAGTCACAGATACTGTTGTTGTGAGCAGTTGCGAGGATTCACGCTTCACTAATGAATGTTTTATCACCAGTCTACAGTATCAGCACTATACACCCTTTCCCAAGCACACTGAGCACTATTGCCTATGATTTACACAGTAAAACAGCACTGTAGTTCACTTCACTGACTAGTAAGTTACATGCAATCAGCTAACTCTGCCTGTTACACTAACACATTACGCATGCACTGGAGGACTAGTTAACTGGCACAACTAGCTAGTTAACTTAGCCAACTAGCAATCGTATAACATTACTGTACAACTTACTCTTTTTGGAAGTGAGGCCATGTTTACTGAACTCTTCTGCTGGAGCAGCTAGTATGAGAATACCAGCTCCTGCCTCCTAAATGGACGCTAAATGATCTACACAATCATCTGGGTAATTACACGGTTACTAATAAACCTAATCTGACAGGTGCGGAGTGAGGACGGCTACCTCTGACCACGTGACTGTTTGACTCCGTTGCCATGGTGATACTATTGCAAACATTTCCGTGTCTTTCATAGAGTGAAATAAATACCAAGCGCACTTACAAGAGATTTGTTTGTTTGATATGGATGCATTCGGATAATTTTAAAATGTAATGCGCTCAGTAAAGAAAAAGAAGTAAACTCATTTAATGCGGAAGTGTCACTCAAAGGCAGGACAACAATGACCATCATGCATTGCGCGCCGCAGGCTTGCCAATGGGATTGCGGCGGGATATTCAAACTGGCCGGAAAGTCAAAACAGCTCAAGTGTGACTTTCAAACAGCGAGCGTCTTACACCGCGGGGTATTATACTCTTTTGGCACGTAGTTAGAAGTTTAGTACTGAAGTCGACAAGGCGTTTTTTTGTTGTTGAAGCTGGCTAAGCCACATTATTGTGCGGTTTGTTTTAAGTTTCAGCTGTTGTTTTGTCAGATAAGGATATATATATTTAGCCATATAGCCAGGAGACGTTAGTGTTCAGTATCGCGATAAATTATTATAACTGGAGCTGCAAACTATCAAAAAAAGTAAAACTAGCTCTGTCAATATCCAGAACGAAGAGAAAATGGGAGAATCCGGCGCTCATATCCGGTCAGGATGTAAGTAAACTTTATTTAAACTTTACTAATAAACTTTACTGCTGAAGCCTCCATGGAGGCTCATTAGCATTAGTCAGCTAATGCTGTTTACACAGCTACAGAAACCTTAACGGCTTTTAACAGCTCTATATTTAGCTATTAAATGTTTTCATAACTTCACGTAATTAAATTTAATCACACTATTTAATAAAAGGTGCCTAATACTTATAAAATGAATGTTATCTGGAGTGTAACCTGGTGAGCATTAACTTATATACAGAGTGAGCTCTATAGGTTAAGGTCTACTGAAGCTAACCTGCACTAATTAACCACTACTGGTGTCACATACTACCCTTGTCACATTCTTTAGAAGCTGTTTCAGGTTTATGTTCAGGTTTAAACCTTTCTTTTTGGACATTTTTTTAAAGATGAACGGTTGACAGCAGAAGAAATGGATGAACAACGCATCCAGAATGTGGCCTACCAGTACCTGTGCCGCTTAGAGGAGGCCAAGAGGCAAGCCACTTCTACTGTATACAGATTCCACTGCTTCCCTGTAAAGGAAAACTCCACCCTGAAGCACATTAAATATGTTTATAATGAAATAGTTCTGATGTGTTGATGGATGCTGGTGCTAATTTGTTGGTTGGTGAGGTATTTTTCTTATTCCTGAGAGAAGTTTGCATTATGTGATGCACTGATGTCACAGAGGGACATTACAAGCGCAGTTAAAAGTCCCCGATTTTATCTGGGCTTGGAACCTGTCTTGTAGCTTGACACTGTCTTGTGCAACCCCAGTGGCCAGGAATCGAACCCAGACCATGGCACTGAGAGTGCCAAGGTCTAACCACTAGTCCTCCAGGGACCCGCAGTTACAGTGGCATTTAATAGGGTAAAAATCTTAAGCATCAAACTCAATCGCTGTTAGCTCTTTAAACAAAAGAACACAAGCTTCTTTTCCGTCCCTCACCATTTCCAGTGAGGTTTAATGTCATATGCAATGTAGAAGTGGTGAAGACAGCAAACACTGGACTCAAATTTCCAGAATGCAGTTCAGCTGTACAACGCAGTAGTGCTGAGTTACAGTAGAGAATTGGCTTGGCTAGATAGTGAGCTACAAGATGATAAGCACAATGGTGTTGATGGCAGTAGTAGCATGAAAGTTGAAGCTTTGGAAGTTAATTCGTTTGAGCCAAGTATATAGATTATAAAGATTAATACGCAAGTCATTCAGGTTGGATTTTTCCTTTAACGTCCTGCATAGGTTGACTTGAAAACTACACAGAATCGTTTGGAAGTTGTGATCTCTGAATGTTATGTTGTTGTTTTTTTTTTAACCTTCCTCTTAGGTGGATGGAGGCATGCCTGAATGAGGAGCTTCCACCTCCGACTGAGCTGGAGGAGTCACTGAGGAATGGAGTTCTGTTGGCTAAGCTTGGCCACTGCTTTGCTCCAAAAATTGTTCCTCTGAAGAAGATCTATGACCTCAACCAGGAACGTTACAAGGTCTGTGTAATATGGAAGAGTTAAGAACAGTCCACCTACCAAAAATATCCATAGTCAGACTCTGGCACTGATAAAGGACTAGGGAATGAAAGCAGAGATATAATCTCTTTACACATATAAGCTGCCCCTACAAGGTATATGTGTCTAATAAAAATAAAAAATATGTGTCTAATAAAAAATAGCATCACTGCTTCCCCTGATACATACTACTTTGTTAAATGAGCCACTGCCCAAATTCCCGACCATCATTACACACTATTGTGCTAAAATTATCCGCCACATAAATTGTATGTAGCAGCAGATGTCAGTAATTGTCTATCTACTGTGTGTGCTTGATGTGTCTAATAAATGTGTGCAGTTAACCACAAATGCAAAACAATACATTGTTTGTGTGTTTATAGGGGGTAGGGCTGCAGTTCCGCCACACCGATAACATCAACCATTGGAGGAATGCCCTAGTGGAGGTTGGCCTGCCAACGGTAAATTAAACCGATATAGCATATTTCCCTTACACCTTCATGTCCTTTTATTCAAAATAATGACCACATACAAACATCACTATAATAGACAATACTACAATTTATCATTTCCTCTCCTGTCAGATTTTCTACCCTGAGACCACAGACATCTATGATAAGAAGAATATGCCACGAACTGTCTATTGTATCCATGCTCTCAGGTTGTACATGCTTTTCTGCTGACACTGAAACTTGGAGATGAGCGATGTATTTACAGAACTAGTACTTTAAAAGTAGATTTCTTGTAGAATTACGATGTAATGTTCATTTACTTTTGGTTTCTTTATTTTCTTGTAGCCTGTACCTTTTTCGTCAGGGCCTGGCTCCTCAAATCCATGACCTTTGTGGCAAAGTCAAGTTCACAGGTAGAAGCATACATTTTTTTCAAGCCAGATTACTTTTTTGTTTTTTTGACTGCTTAGTCTGATTATTGATATACCTTTTTTTTTTTTTCTTTGCCTAGATGAGGAGATCAACAACATGAAGCTGGAACTGGATAAATACGGTATCCAGATGCCTGCTTTCAGCAAGATTGGAGGAATTCTAGCTAATGAGATCTCAGTGGATGAGGCTGCTGGTAAGAACAGTCACGTCTAGGTTTAGCTGTAATGTGACTGAACAGGTGTGCAGGTATGTGTCTGTGGACATCCAGTCCTGAGAAGCCTGCTGTCAGCACTTATGCTTATAAACATTTTACCTTTCAGCAAGGTCATCATGAGTGTATGATGTTTTTATTATTACCATACGCCTTACAAGTAACAATAGGTTATGATGTTTGCCCAGTACATTATAATTCTGCTAGGTAGAGGCTAAATTAAGCAAATCTTAACAAAAAATCGTGAACACCTTCTTTGCTCACTTTTCTGGTCATGTGTGCAGTGCATGCAGCAGTGATAGCCATTAATGAGGCAGTGGAGCGGGGCTGTGTGGAGGACACGGCACAATCACTGCGCAATCCCAATGCCATGCTCACTAACCTGCAGGAGCAGCTCATGGCCGTCTACCAGGAGATGCTCCGCCAGGCTCGTGCTCACAAAGCAGCCAAGGCTTCTGCTAAAGTGAGGGAGACGAAGTCTTGTGTTTGGTCCTATCATCTAACATAAATATAATATGTCTGAATGCAATTAGGATGAATTTTTCAATGTTTTTTAGGCAAATGGCTCCATGGAGAAGGATATTTATGAAGAGTATCTGACACAAAGTGAGATTCAAGACAACATCACTAAAGTTAATGGTGAGTCAGCGGTCCAGTGCTGTGCATATGGGAATGTTTGATCTTGTATCACAACTTGTGTCTGTAATATGATCTATTTGTGGTGTGTGTGTGTTTAGTGCGTGCAGCTGTAGAGCGTGTGGATGAGGCAATAGACTGTGGCGATGCCCTGGCTCTACTCTCAGCCCTGCAGAACCCGAGTCTTGGCCTCAGAGGGCTGCTTAGAGATAATTCTGACTGGTATCTGGAACAGCTCTCGTCAGACCGAGAACAGAAAGCCCTGGTGAGAAGTTTGCAAATCGTATAGCCTTGCATTACATCTTCTTTACATTTGTATGCAATGCTTAAGGTGTGAGTCACTATTTGTATGTATATTTTCTTCTAGGATCTGGGGTGTGTGGACCCTCTGGAGAGAGATGAGCTGCAGGATGGTGTCAGTGTGGCCAACGAGGAAGCTCAGCATTCACGAACAAGTCAGTTCAATCCCAGCTTTATGACTTAATAATGAAATTATAGCCAAGAGTCAAGAGTTGACTCTGTGTGTGTGTGTGTGTGTGTGTGTGTGCGTGCATGTGCAGTGCTACAGGCAATATCCAAAATCAATGAGGCTTTGCGGTGTGGTGAGCCACGTCAGACGGTGCGTGCCCTGATGAACCCTGATGCCCACCTGCCTGATGTCTACCCTTTTGCCGCTGAGCTTTACCAGAGAGAACTCACTCCTCTGCAGCAGCAGTGCCCTCAGGTGGCTAATATAGCACCCCATTTACCACAAATTACAGATTCATACAGTTCCCCTTGCTCTAGGGTCATTAATGCCTACTAAGCTGTAGTGGTTTGGTTTGTATATTGCTGTCAAATTTCCACTCCCTAAGGGAGGATTTTGCATATTAGACACTTCTGTAATCCAGTTCTTGGGCTCCCACAGGTAGGCCTATTACGATAATGAAGTTTTAGCTCAAAAAAACCTGCAGCCTAAGCTCAAAAATCAGCAGTGTATGTGTGTTCATAAGCAATCAACAAATAGTGCACCTAGCCCAAGGCTTTTTTCTTTTGTTTTTTAAGCTCTTTTTCTTTTTTTTCTTTTTTTTAAAGATACTTTTAAGATATGATGTATCTTAGCTAAAATTTAAACATGATATTTGGTTAGTTTATTTCAGCCTGTTTTGCTTCTATGCTCAATCTGCTTTGTTTGTGCATGTGTGATTGTGTAGGGTGACCTGCAGCAGGAGGAGCTGTTTGTGGCTATAGAGATGCTGTCTGCAGTGGCATTGATAAACCAGACACTGGAGGCTAAAGACATGGGAGCATTCTGTGCCACTCTGGTCAGCCCTGCTGCTGGCCTTGCAGACATTGATGACAGCTTAATGCAAAGGTGCGACATTACTTCACACCACAGAGGATTCTTTTATCAGTGGCCATTTTAACTCGTACTGCTTTCCTTTCTTTCAAAGTTTAACTGACCTGTATATACAGTGAATATAACCAATCAGATGTCACAGCTGATTTTGACCTAAATTGACTTTTTCTGTGAATATTATAATTTTAAACTTCTACTTTAAGATAGCATAAATATATTTTACCAAGAAAGACGAGGAAGTGTTTTATTTTGGTTAATTTCCGACCTTGCCTTGGCGTCTGCCTGCAAAGATCATGTTGAGTAAGGAGCCAGTTTAACAAACATTCAGTCTGCCCAAAGATATCTAAAACCTTGCTTGTGTGCATCTTTCAGTGGAGTTGGGTTTAAATCTTTAAATGCAAATTTCTCCTTCACTTTTGTGGGTAGCTGGATTCTAAAATGCTATAAGATATTTCAGTTCAAGAAAGCCTGTAGCTTTGGAAAAATGCTGAGGTTTGACCATGTGAAAGGTTTTCCCAGGCACACGTGTGTGTATATATATCTGTAGACATTATATTTAGTACAATCTTTGCTTAGGTATTTTGAGGAGCATTCTGAACTGAAGAAGAAGGCAGGCAGAGTGCTCCTGACCTGGAATGAGCTGCAAAGTGGTGTGAACGGTGTCAACACGGCAGCTCAGGACGAGCATGACCGTAAGTACATGCTCCTACCTTCCAGACTTATGAGAATTTTGTTCAGTTTTCTAGAGCTTGTGGTCATTATAAGTGATAGAAAACCCATGCATCTTTCTTCTTGTCTTTAACTATAGAGATCCTGACTATTGGATTGATCAACCAGGCCCTCAGTCGCAGTGACCCTCAGAAAACTCTGGCTGCGTTGCTGCTGCTCTCTAGTGGCCTGACAGATGTAGTGCCACAGAACGGCAAACGCTACCATGATGTACTGACCCGCCTCAAGAAGCGCAAGGCAGAGGTGTCGTATACAGCAATATGGAGAAAGGATTGTAGAGATATTGACTGCTTTTATTTAGCCTAATTTGTTTTTATTTTCAATTTTTGTCTTTGTTTGTTTCTGTGTGCATGGTGCAGATGAGTCGGGACCCTGGAGCAGAGCTGTGGTTAGCTGATATTCAGGAAGGAGTGGGCCTGGCTAACCAGGATACTCAGAAAGCTCTGAAGAGTGAGTGTATACAGTATAAACAAACACAGTGAAACATTACATTCAGGACATTTTAAACTCAGCTTGCATACCCAGGACTGATCTAGATGTG